CCTTTTACTAGTATATATATATATGTACTCCTGTTTTTACTCACTTGTCTATTAATGCTCACTTGGGGGTGGGGGAAGGGACATGTATTAATTTCAACAATAAAGATTTAATTAAAAAGAATATTTTAAGGGCACAACAGTAACTTCAACATATATGAGGAAAGAATTAGTAATATTAAAGATAAAATGAATAATCTAAAGTTACAAAGATAGAAAATAATGAATAAAACTAAACACTTAAGAACTTGGTAACAATATCAAATAATAAAAATAACTATAATTTAAAACTCAGAAGTAAAAGAGAAGGTCCCAGCAGAGGAAATATCTGTAGAGATAATAGCTAAAATTTTTCTGAAATTAACTAAAGACACCAAACCCAGATTCAAGAAGCTCAGATAACACAAAGCAGAAAGAAATTAAACACACACATACACACACACAGAAGAAAGGAAAGTAAAAGAAAATTGAATAGAAAACCATTATACAGTTGAACAATGTGCAATTAAGGGTGCCTACACCCATGCAGTGAAAAATTTGCATATCACTTTTGGCTCCCCCCAAACTTAACTGTCCTCAGTATCTGCTTGTTCCAGGTCCCCTGTGGATATCACAATCAGGAGAGGCTCATGTTCTCTGCATTAAATGGCACAGATCAATGCATATAGTTGTCTGTCTGTGTCCATAGACCTCCATGTTTTATTGGGGGGGAAAATCTGTGCGTAAGTGAACCTGCACTGTTGAAGTCCATGGTGTTCAAGGTCAAATGTATAATGAGCAGGTCTGTTCAACCTCAGCGTTGTTGATCTTTTGTACTGGATAGTTTTGGTTATGAGGTACTATCCTGTGCATTGCAGGCTGTTTAACAAAAGAATAGTACTTAATACAAAAATTACAAAAAATGGTGTTTTTCTTGGTGTAAAGTACATGTATAGAGCAATGTAAAACCATAGAAAATTAAAAACTAATCAGATTAATGTTTAATTTATTTTTGACAAAGCTACCAAGGCTATTCCTTTCAATAAACGATGAAGAATAACTGACTATTCCTATGTAAAAAGATGAACTGAAATCTATACTTCATGCCATTTACAAACACGAACTAAAAATGCATCATAGACATAAATTTGAGAGCCAAAGGCACAAGTTATTTATATCTGGTGGGAGGTTTATATCCGTAATATATAAAGTACACTTACAAGTAGAGCATAGAAAGTCAAACAGGCAAAATATTTGCATAGACATTTCACCAAAGAAGAATGGGTTTAAGGTGCCTTGATTGCAGAAAACCCAGAAAATTTGAAGACATCCTTCAAACCAACAATGTCCCCAGTTATTTCTATATTGACCCACACATATATGCCCATGGGGGTAATACATAAAATATGGACTGGTAAGAGGTTTTTTTTTAAATTGTGAAAGATTATGTGGGAATGGAGAACCAGAATGTTCCCTCAGCCTAGGATGTTGTCTCTGACACGTCAAGTTTAGGAAGATATTGTATGGTATTTTAGAATATAAAATTGATTTACTTGAAATTACCTTTTGACTAGATACATTCCTTGAGAAGTTTATGTGTACACTCAGTATACACAGAGGCCAGTAGTGGCCTACATTGACAGTAGACAGTGAGAAGAAGCGCACACCCAGAATAGATCACTGAAGGGGTCCCAGTTCATGGCTCCAGCATTGGACATGCATTAAGGAAATGCAGCCTCAGCCCAGAGTTGCATGGGGCCTTCTCCTGCGATGTATTTAGAGTTTATCCAACTTACAAGTCAGTGCTTGTGCCCCCATCATCTCCTTTGTAAGAGAGACCTAGAAACAGGATTGTTCTCTTGATTGGTTATCATGATCATGAAATGAGTCAATGTTATATAATATTTAGAATAGGTTCTAACATATAACAAGTGCTCAAGAAGTGCAAACTTGGTCTTCTGACCAGTAGGTTATCTTCTTCCTAGCATTTTAAAGGGATTCTGGTGTGGCTTCAGTTACTGTACTCTGTTGGAAATTTGGGGATTTTGTAATAGTATAAAAATGGGAATTAATGAGAAACATTCCTGTGATTTCATTATGGCCATGTGATCTGTGACCCAAACATATGACATTGGGATGGAATGTCATACAACACTAGGAAATCTGGAAGGAGACACGTTTGATTTTAAACAACTGTTTCATAAAGTAGGACATTTAAAATGTTCTGTATAATATTCCATAGAGATTAATTATGTGTCTTATACCACATGAAGTATTAGTTGAATTTTAATTTATTTTTATAGCATTAAAGGTTAGTAATTGATTGGGAACTTAAGGGGCCCATTCCCCAGGGGTAGCAGTATAAATTGCTGTGTTCAACACTTATTCTAACATCTCCAGCACCACAGAGGTACTGTGTCACTCAGGTTTTTTAGCCAGATCTAGGCTCTGGTTACTTGAAAATGGAAATGAATATATTTCTCCAGCAAACAATTATGTAAGGTAAGTTTAACTCATCTGTCTTCTATTTAGAGAATGATTTCATAGACATATACCTGTGCACTTACTTGCCAGAGACTAATTCCAGCATGACAGCAGGGCTGCATCTGGGAATGGCTTGAAGGCATTTCCCCAAACCTGAATAGGAAACTGATTGCTTGCTGCCAGACAGCTAAAAGGCATCTTAATCTACATGTTATTGCCTCCTACTGGCCAAACACCTGAACAGCCATAGGCTAATTCCCCCATTCTGACAATGGACTCTGTAGAAACCCTGACCCTTTGAAGCTTTCTGCTTCGCCTCAGGACAAATTGTGTTAATAAAAAGCATGGGGTCCTGGGGACGAGAGAACCTAAGACCTTAGAGTTAAGATCTTAGAACTTAGCTCCTTTAGCTAAGCTCCTCTGACTCCCAAAATGCCTTTCAAAATTATATCTTGTCTCCGGACTCTTTATTAGTCTCTGGATTCCTATTTAACATCTACGCACGGTCCCTTCTCCAGATTCCTGAACCCTTCTTGATGCTGGGACAAGAACCCCGGCATTTACTGATTCAAATGCTTTTCTCTTTTAGTATTGAGAGATCATTGCTGGTGAAATTAGAACAATTTCCTTTGGAACACCAAACGTTGATGTATGTGAAAGAATATAGAGAACATAAATGGTATTCTCTCTCTCTCTGTCCCTCTCCCTCTCTCATTCTCATTTTTACTTTCTTCACCCTAGTTTCTCTCATGGAATTGAGAGATCCCCAATTGTCACCCTAAATATGAGGGTTGAATTTATGTGTCCCTGTGTTGGTCATGGGGAATCAGGACATGTAGACTATCTCTGCTCAGTAAATGAGGTGAATACTTTTAGTTTTTTTGTTTGTTTGTTTTTTGCTTTACCATGAACTAGTTTCTTATTATCAGCCTAGAACATTAGGAAGAAGGATTTCCAAGTTGATTTTCCCATTTTTAACTCTGAAGTGGGCTAATAATTCAGATTCATTTTTTGGGGAATGGGTGGGTCAAGTAATGAGAAAACCATGACTTCAGCAAGATTTTTTGTTTTTACTTCTTTAAAATTAGTTCAAGATATGGAGAAAATACCAGGTTATGTTCTCAGTCCAGAATCTCTTTTTCATTATATTTATGTGTATGAAGTCATGGGTATACTCCTCTAGGAAAGAGGACAGAGAATAAAATTTCTCATCTTTCATATGACTTATTGCTAAAGGACCGATCTGAATGTAAATTGGACCCAGAGAACATACATTGTAACTACTTCCCCCAACCAACTGCTAGAGAGAATTTAGGAGAGTTTTCACTTACCTCTTTCTCAATGTGGGTAAAGGATTTATCTTTTATGGTTGTAGCCAAATTAAAGTGATAACATGTTATATCTACCATATGTATTCATATCTCAAAGTATACATTACATTTAAATTTACATATACACATCAAGTATACTAGATTTAAAAAAATAACCATCTCCACAAGATCATTTTAAATAACACAACTTTCTGCCTTAAATATGATATAGCATAGTTTAACAATTGCACTATTTTGACAAAATTTTTTTCCATTCTCAAAATAATAAACAATGCCTCAATAAAACTTTGGATATAGTTTTTCACAATTTGTACATGTAATTAAACATTTCTTATAACAGCTTACTAAGAATGGAATCTCTCATAAATATATCATGTCAGGGTTATATGCTACCTAATTGCTTTCCAGAAAAATTTATACAAGTGTTATATCTTTCTGAGTCATTATTGGTATTGATCATTACAGTTTTATTCAATTGAGTCACTTTGTTAAATTGACAAGTAAAAATCATGATGAATTTTAGTATATATTTTAAATCCCTCTCTTTTTTTATTCTCCATAATTTCAAATTTCAAGAGTGCTTATGCGTCACTAACCTCAAAGAGATTTGTCACATTTTTCCAACAAGGAATCCACACAGAACCTCACCTGCTGAAACCTTATGCTACTGATAGGCTCACCTTAAAAATTAGTGTATATTATGTAGGGGCACAGTAGCTGCAATCTTACTTAAACAGAACTTACTGTATTATTCAGGGAACAGGAGTTGGTCTCATGTGGCTTCAGAGTATATCATTGAATCTATGTCCAAGTCCATCAAACACATAAGTAAATTCATCACCTCAATTTCTTGTGGTAGACAACTGTTGGGAATCATACAGGTTTTTACTGATACTTTAGATTTGATCAGGGAGATCTGCTGTCACACTGAACATATAGAATTATCTGCCAATTATATTTCAAGTAATGCTATGTCTGATATCAATGTGATACTTTTATTCACTGCATTTGACATCAATGTGATATTTTTCTTAAGCTAATATAACAGTGAGTTGAAAGACTGGGGAAGGGGCTGGAGAGGGTGGAGGGAGTTAATGGAGGAAAAAAAGAAGACATCATTAATATTTTCAACAATAAAGATAATTTAAAAACAAACAAAAACAATAAAAAACTTATCATTTGGTTTTCTAAACCCGACAGATGGTGGAAATGGGGGAGGAGAACTGCACCACTGTGACAGAGTTCATTCTTCTTGGATTATCTGATGTCCCTGAGCTGAGAGTCTTTCTCTCCCTGCTGTTCCTTCTCATATACGGAGTCACGGTTTTGGCCAACCTGGGCATGATCGCACTGATTCAGGTCAGCTCTCGCCTTCACACTCCCATGTACTTTTTCCTGAGCCACTTGTCCTTTGTGGACTTTTGCTACTCCACGATCATCGTGCCAAAGATGCTGTTCAACATGCTAACCAAGGATAAAACCATCTCCTTCCTGGGATGTATGGTGCAGTTTTATTTGTTTTGTGCCTATGGAATCACTGAGTTCTTCCTGCTGGCCGTGATGGCCTATGACCGCTTTGTGGCCATCTGTAACCCACTGCTGTACATGGTCACCATGTCCCAGAATCTCTGTGTGGGGCTGGTGTCTTGCTGTTACCTCATTGGGACTGTGTGTTCTCTGATTCACTTGTGTTTAGCTCTTGAGATCCCATCCTTTAAATCAAATGAGATTAACCACTTCTTTTGTGACCTACCCCCAATATTTAACCTTGCCTGCTATGATGTCTCTATAAATGAACTCACAGTGTTCATTGTGGTCACTTTCATTGAGATCGTCACCATCATGATCATCCTCACCTCCTACTTGTTTATTCTCATCACCATCCTGAGGATGCACTCTGCAGAGGGAAGACACAAAGCCTTTTCCACCTGTGCCTCCCACCTCACAGCCATCGTTGTCTTACAGGGAACAATCCTTTTCTCTTATTGCCGGCCCAGTTCTGGCAACAGTGTGGATACTGACAAAGTGGCTTCAGTGTTTTACACTATAGTGATTCCCATGCTGAACCCCCTGATCTATAGTGTGAGGAACAAGGACGTGAAAGAAGCTCTCAGGAAAGTGGTGAGCTCCAAAATATTTTCCTGGAGAATATTTTCTTAGTAGGACCGAGGGTCCCATAATGGAGGCTGATGTAGGGTGACTTGGTTAGCTGCTGTGTTATAGAGTGGAGGGAACAGCCAGGAGGCAGGTCTTTATGAGTGAGGTTTTCACATTCAATTTTCTTTGTCTCCGCAATTGACCTGGGTCTGTTTAAACACATTTCAAAATTTGCAGCTTTAGTCTTTGCTTTTATTCAATCTAAAAAAAGATGGATCTCTTACCCTTTGAGCCAGCCTGGAGGGACCTGGAGAGTATTGTGCTGGAACATACTGTGGAATCTCAGAGGGAAGGTGGGGGAGGGTGGACAGGAAGAGATCAACCAAAGAAATTGTATGCATATATAAATAACCCAGGGAAACAGACAATAGAGTGGTAAAGACCTGGGGTGGGGGGCTGGAAATGGCTAGAAAAGATCAAGGGGGAAAAAAGGTACATATATAATACTTTCAACAATAAAGTTTTAAAAAAATAAAATGTTTTGGGTATTGGACTGTTAAGACCCACACATTTTGTTTGCTCTAAAACCTTCATAAGATTAATGGAAAACTCTTGAGAAACAACAGAGTTGCTGACCTATTATGGAAAGTATGATTCATTTCAAAATGGAATTCCTCCTATTTTACAATGAAGAATCACCTTTGCCAGTTTATGCACAGAGTGAGACTCCCATAGGTGTGCATATTCTGTTTGTTGTTCACTGCTTTCTTCCTTTATTATATTTTTGTTGTCATTGCAGTGTCTAATGTGTTTGGAACTTCAGAGACTAATATTTAAAAAATAGAAACACTAATAATAATTATTTCTCAGAAATGTTGGAGAAATTAAGTTACATGTCATGTGTAAAGCACTTAGAAAATTTATGGCACTTAATTAGTTCCCCGTTTCTGACTCTATTGCTCTATCTGTCTCAGTGTGCACGTGTGTGTATATATGTATATAAAATGTATACATGCATTTCATAACCATGGTCATGAGAGGTAGCATTTCTGACCATGGTCTTTTTAATCACTTTATTTTTTTACTTACCATCATGTTTGTTTTACAATTTGTGTATCAAACACTTACTCTGACTTATAGGTGGATGTCAGCCTTTGTTCATGTTCTTTGTTTATTTATGCTGTTGATGAAATAAATGACCTTTGTTTATCCTTTTTTATGGGTCTAAACTATATTTCTTCATTCAATCCTGATTTATATCCACCGTTGATAACTTATTTATCCTTTCATTATGTTTATGTCAATTTCCACACTATATTTACTTATTTAATGAAGTATCTCTCCTTATCTATATAATAAAAGGCTAATATGCAAATTGTCTCCTCGAAGTTCCACTGGGAGACCAGGAGTTCGATTGCTCGCTATGATGTGTGCTGACCACCAGGGGGCAGCACGGAACATGGTGGGCAACCAGTAGCGGCAGGGTGCTGAGGGAGTGAGGGAGGAGGAGGCAGAGAACCTGATTGGCCCTGATCACAAGCCAGGCCTAGGGATCCTACCCGTGCATGAGTTTCGTGCACTGGGCCTCTAGTATCTATAATAATGTTAGAAAGCACTAAGCTTAAGTTTACAAAAATCAAAGTTTGTGACTTGACCCGGAATTATAAAATTTGACTAATAATTTAAACTTTTTCATTCCTCAGTTTTAATCATTGAACAATAGTGATAATCTCTCAACATTATGTTGATATTATTATTATTAAATATATTTTTGTTGATATCACAGAGGAAGGGAAAAGGAGAGAGAAACATCAATGATGAATGAGATTTAGACCGCCCTCCTGCATGCCCCACACTGCATGCCCCACTCTGAGGATCTAGCCAAATGCCCACCAGTAGATGAGTGGTTAAAAAAAGCTGTGGTAGAGAGAACCAAGATGGCAGCATGGGTAAACACCTATACTTGCTGCCTGTCACAACTACATCAAAATAACAACTAAAAGGCAGAACAACTACCACCCAGAACCGCGGGAAAGCTGGCTGAGTGGAAGTTCCAGAACTAGAGAGGTGAAGAATGCGCATTGAGACTGTTAAGAGGTGCGGAAAGTGCTGGAAACTGGATATGCTGCTCTTTTAATCAGGAGGGAATACAAGCTCCTGCTTACTCTGAACTCCAGTTCCAGGTGAGACTCTGGGGGACCCAGATACGCACGGGAAGAAACTGGACTGTCTGGCATCAGGACAGGAACGCGAGGGCGGCTTTCTAGCAGAGGTGCTCACAG